CTCCCTTCCCTTTCCTTTCCTTTCCTTTTCCTTTCTCTTCTCTTGGAGACAGGGTTTCTTTGTGTAGCCCTGGCTGTCCTGGAACTCACTCTATAGGCCAGGCTAGCCTCAAACTCAAAGATTCACTTTTCTCTGCCTCCTGAGTGCTAGTATTAAAGGTGTTCACCAACCCCATCCCCGCTGCACATGCATGCACACATACATGTATGCACACATACATGTATGCACACATACATGGGTACACATGTATATCTGGGTACATCAGCATGTGCATGTGTGTGGAGGCCAGAAAAGAACCTCAGATGTTGTTCAAGGACCTCCCTCTTTGTTTTGAGACAGAGTTTCTCAATGACCTGGACCTTACCAAGTAGGCAAGGCTGGCTGGACGGTCCTTGGGATCTGCCCATCTCCTGCTCCCCAGAGATGCGGTTAAAAGTATATATGGCAGCGATGGAGAGATGCCTCAGAGGTTCAGAGCACAGGCCGTCCTGACAGCAGACCCAGGTTCAGTTTTCTGTACCCCACAGCGGCTCACGACTATCCCTAAGCGTGTTTGAGCTGCTTTCTGTGAGTTCTGGGGCAGTGACTCAGGTCATGTGGAAGAGCACACACTCTTAACCAGAGTCACCTCTAGGCAAATAAACAAAGGCAAAATAATCATACAGGTAAAATAGAATAAATTAATCTTTAAAAAATTAAATAAATAAAATGTTAAGATTTTTTGTTTGTTTGTTTTTTCGAGACAGGGTTTCTCTGTGTAGCCCTGGCTGTCCTGGAACTCACTCTGTAGACCAGGCTGGCCTCGAACTCAGAAATCTGCCTGCCTCTGCCTCCCAAGTGCTGTGATCAAAGGCGTGCGCCACCACCGCGTGGCTAAGATTTTTTTTTAAACAAAAACCCAAGGCTATATGTCACTGTGCCTGGCCTCTTTCTTTCTCTCTTCCTTCCCTCCCTTCTTCCCTCCCTCCTTCCTTCCCTCCCTCCCTCCTTCCTTCCTCCCTTCCTTTCTCACTCTCTCTCTCTCTCTTTTTCTTTTTAAACATAGGTTCTGGGGATTGAATTCAGGTCCCTCCCTGACTTTACTGACTGAGTCTCAGCTTGCCAGAGTTTTACAAACACTGTCCTGTTTAACCCACACAAGTGTGGAGAATGGTAGACTGGTTCCAGTTTCTGACTGAAAATAATTCTCTACAGTTACTCCACTTACCCAAGGTCACCTGACTAGCTAGTGAGTGGGTTAGGTGCATTTCCAACCTCAGCCTGGCTTGAAGTTCCTGCTGCAGCAACCCCCACAACTGTGGGGCCACATGCTAATGTCTAGAGGCATGTGGCACCCCAGCACAGGGGGAGGGGAGTAGATGTTTAGGTCTAGTCCAAAATGTAATCAGAAACACAGTGGATCTATTAAAGGTGAACAGATTAGCCAGTGTGGCAGCCTCAGCCTGGGGAGGCTTCAGGCTGCCCAGCAAGAGGCCTGCAAGGCCTGGCTCCATTGGTGAGACCCCGTCCACCCCTGCCTCTTCCAAAAAGCACATGAATTGCAAAATATAAATTTTGTTGCAAGGACTTCTATAAAAAGAAGGGTAATCTTCCTCAATGCAGGAAATAACAGAAAATCCGAGGGTCCTCTTGTGGAGAGTCCCAGCTTGTATTTGGCCACCCTGGTGTCTTCTGACCATTTCTCACACAAAGAATAGGATTTGGGGATTTCTTCCTTTCTGCTTTATCCCTTGTGACCTTAGTCCTTTGGTGGAGATGTGTTCCTAGAGAGGGGCAAAATCAGGTCAGGGTGAGGGGAGAGGAAGAGGAAGGGAAAGAGGATGAGAGAGACAGATAAAGAGGGAGGTGGGAGACAGTCACTCGGCTAGGGGACAGGGAGGAAGTATTGGAGGGGTAACGGTGCTGCTGCATGTGTATGTGTTTAGGAAGCAAGGAAGGCCTGGGCATTGGGTCATCTGCACAGAGGTTTTCCAGAACCTGCTTCCCCTCCAGGTTATGCCCATTGCGGAGAGAGCGGACAGCCTCCTATTGACCCCTCACTAGATCCTGGATAAGGCCCTAGGCAGGGTGGCACTGGGTCACTGGGGCTAAGGGTTGGCAGCCTGTAGCACTTTTCCTGTGCTTCTCTCAAAGGCTTCATGCACGGTTCTATGAGCTGGCTCCCAACCTCGTCCCGATGGACTACAGGAAGAGTCCCATCGTCCATGTGCCCATGAGCCTCATCATTCAGATGCCAGAGCTCCGGGTAGGTGAGAGGCTGCTGCTGGTGGGTTGGAGCATGGGGAATCCATATCTAGGCAGGGAGTACCCAGATCCAGACTGCAACCTGCCTCCAGCCACTGTGAATGTGTTGCCCTGGATGGACCACTGAAGTTCTCTGGGTCTCAGTTTCCCAGTATACATGTTGCATGGGTGAGTTATGGGAGGGTGGGGCTTGGTAGGTGTCCTGGGGATTTGTGACTGCCCACTGACCAGCCAGTGGCCTTTGTCCACCTACATGTCCCTATGTGGAATAGCCTGGGCTGTACTCAGCAAGCCTTGGTCTGTTCTTTTAGATAATTTTTCTTTCTTTCCCTGTCTGATCATGGATTCTTGGTCATCTCTAATGACATATCTCAGACTCAAACTTCCTGGGTGTCTTTTTAGAACATTCATTTGGATTTGGGCTATGTGAGGTAGGCTCAACCAGCTCCCAGTAAGGCTGTTGTGTGGGTCCTTAGGCCACCTACACATGGAAAGTTTCTTGAGTTCTTCAACATGGGCTATAGAAAGCATTGGGCACAATTCCACATTGCAGTGGGACTTGGGCAGGCCTGGGATGTATGGCTTACAGTATGGTAAGAGCTACACGGCATCACCTTGGGCCTGCATCTTGACTCTGTTCTGAGAGATGCCAAGCACAGGCATAGCCCTAGAAATCACTGCCTGTCTTCAAGGGAATGGGAGACCAGGCTGAGTGGCATAGAGAATGTGAGGCACTGCAGGGTCTTTGTCTCCAGGTCCCTGGGGCTGACTCAGGCTGAGCAGCTGTGATGGAAGGAATCTGGGTCCTGGAGACTTTGGCATCACTGGAAGGAACAGAGGTGGGGGCTGGGAATGAGAACAAATGGGCTATGTGGCTGGAGGCATCAGAACCACCTCTTGTTGCTTGTGTTGGTCCAGTTACTTGACATCTTGGGCCTCACGTCCACTTCTCACCTGTCTGGCCTGGATTAGCCTGCACTCAAGGCTTCTTGGAGCAGTTGTCTTCTTTTGCCAGGGACACAGCCCAGTAGGTAGAAGAAAGAGACTGTGTATGTGCCTCTGAAAAATGAGACAGTTGGCATGCAGGCCTTCTCGGCTTGCTGCACTCATGTACGAATCCTGTGAAGCATGAGAACATGCCTGCTGAACCAGGCCCCATATCAGTGCCTTACACGTCTAACTTGGAAACTCCTCCAGTAACCTGTTAAGTAGCTCTGATTATTGCCTCTCTGGAGGCCACACATACAGGCTGTCACAGGCTGCCCTCAGACCGGCCTGAGACCCTTGCCTTACCTACCCAAAGTGATGACTATGCTTTTCTTTAGGAGAATCCCTTCAAGGAGAGGATTGTGGAGGCTTTCTCTGAGGATGGTGAGGGGAACCTCACCTTCAATGACTTTGTGGACATGTTCTCTGTGCTCTGTGAGTCGGCGCCTCGGGAGCTCAAGGCGAACTATGCCTTCAAGATTTATGGTAAGGGAGGGCCGGCAGCAGGGCAGAACTGCACCGCTGAAAGTAGCTGTGGGCCATTGCACCATCAAGTTATTGCTGGGTACACTCAGGGTACCTTTGGGGAATGCCTGCCTTGAGCGTGGAAATCATGCAGGAGGCACATCTTCAGAAAGAGGGAGAGACTCACCCACTCTGAGGGGGAAATTAAAGTAAGGAATATGGTGTCAGGGACTAGAGGACCAGGGGAGATTAGTCCCTTGGGACAATGGGACAGGCACCCCACAGAATGTACAGCAAGGCTTGCCAATATGAGGAAGTTTTGGGATGTGGCGGGAGGGATCAGTATAGAGAACGAGGCTGTGAGGAGTTTGGGCCCACAGAGTTCAGACAGGGAAGGGCAGGCAGGGAAGGGCAATTGTGTTCTAGAAAGATCCCTGGGAAACTTTAATATGTGAACTAGAAAAGTCAGGCTAAATCTAGGCCCAGACTTCTTGAGACAGGATGATGAGCCAGGTAGAGAGGGAAACCCTGAAGATTGCCCCTCACAGGCCAGAGATAAGGTTATCCCATTTCTCCAGCCTGCTGACACACTGACCACTAGAGGGCGCTGAGCACACCCAATTCCCCTATAGCTAAATGGAGACTACCACACAGCTTGCTCGCTGTGCCTTGAACTTTTACTGGACAATACGAAAAGACTATAAACCTTCCCGCACCTTTGAGAAGTTGGTGGATGTTAAAGCATTGGGTCCATCAAGGGCTGTCTGTTAATTTTGTGCTAGCATGTTTGTTTCAAAGGACTTTGGTTTAGATACATAGTGCAATACATGGTGTTTGCATATGAGAAAGCAGACCCTGCCTGTCCACCCTCCATAAATGTAGCTTTGAAAATTGCACCCATGATCCTTCAGCCTAGGACCCAAGAGTGCTGCCCCTGGGAAAGACTGTTGTCTTCCTACAAGATGAAAGTGCAGAGCACATGGAGGTCTCAGCTTTTTACTGTTAAATTGGCCTAGGCTCTATCCAGCCCACTAGCCAGACAGCAGATCTTTTCATAGAACCTTCTGCAGACCGTTCAGGAGCAGAGATAAATCCCACCTCATGCCCACCATGGAGGCCCTCACAGGCAAGGCCAGAGGTGAGCAGCTCAGGTTACACCAAAGGGCTTCTGCTCTAGTTCAGGCCACAGTTGTGACCTCTGGGAGGTCCTTGTCCTCTCCGGCCCACCTTTTTTGCCTCCTGTAGAGTTCAGGTGTGGTTTACACAAATCAGCAAGAGTGGCTCTGGTCTTTGTCAATACCGTTTATGCCAGCCTGGTGGGCAGTTAGACAGTCTATCTAGAAAATGATGCTTGAGGAAACCTGAAGGCCAAGTGGGTATTGGTCAGGAAGGCATCAGAGGCATGGGAAACCAAGTGCACAGAGCCTGCACATGGCCCAGCCCACGGGCCACCGTGTCATGCTCTGGGGATAGTGGGAGTGCCTTTTGCCCAGGACACCCAACAGTGCCCCTACTCTGTGCACAAAGGCCTTTCCTGTTTTGGCCTCTCTCTAGGGTGATCCTGTATCTCTTGATTTATGATTTTTTTAATTGACAGATTAAGTAGTGCATGATGACCACATATGATATGCATATGTATTAATTATGTATGTATGTAGGCCTACCAGGGGTGATGAGGTGCCATTAAGAAAATGTGGGTTTCAGAGTTAAATAGACGTAGTCAGAATCCTAGCTCCACCTCTAATTGGATCTCCAACTTGGACTCATGCACTGGCCTTTCTGGGTTCTGTCTTCTTTGGCTCTGGGAGTCCAGTGTGGGGTGAGGCCAGGAAGACTCCAGCTTGAGTGGGATGTTCTCAGAGAGTTTGTATTTGGAACTGCTTGGGCTGTAGCTGTATATACCTTCATTGTGGGGGTTTGTGAATCCCTCAAATGTTAATTTGTTGCCTGTGGATGTTTAAGATATACCTTGTGTGTGAGCTTCTTGGTTCCCTTCAGTGGGGACAAGGACCCCAGTGCTCTCTGAGTTCATAGGGATACTTTGGGGAGTCCAGAGGCTGGTAGAGAGATCAGTTTGACCAGCTGAGGAAGGAGTAATACTGGACAGGACACCTCTGTCCTCGAAGCCCCTGGAGGGACTCAGCCCTCTTCTGACCATCTCCTTTCCTCCCACCTAACCTCACAGACTTCAACACTGACAATTTCATCTGTAAGGAAGACTTAGAGCTCACGCTGGCCCGGCTCACCAAGTCAGAGCTGGATGAGGATGAGGTAGTGCTTGTGTGTGACAAAGTCATTGAAGAAGCTGACCTGGACGGCGATGGCAAGCTGGGCTTTGCTGACTTTGAGGACATGATCGCCAAGGCCCCTGATTTTCTCAGGTACTGTTACCCCAGGAACTGGGCTTGGGTGGATAGGCTAGAACATTAGGGTCACAACTGGTCTCATGGGATCTCCACAGGCAATGATATAAGCAGCCCTGAAGTGTCTGGTCAAGTCCCAGCTTCCGAGATGCATGCCTGGCTCTTATATAACTATTCCTATCAAGAGAGGGATCAAGATCTTCTGTGGTGCACAGAAGGGACAGAGACTCTTGGGGGAGGGAGGGAGGGAGGGGTGGTCTAGACCTTCAGTGTGGGAAGCTGAAAAGTGGCCAGCTGCTCCTTCTTAGCCTCCTGTGATTACCTCTGTGCAGCTTTCCTTATGGAGATGACCGGGTTAGGTTAGCTTTCCCCGCAGAGCCTTCTGCCCGCCCCCAGCCTCTCACCCTCTCTGTGCTGTCTCTCTTTACAGCACTTTTCACATCCGAATCTGAGGACACGGCCCAGGCTGTGGGGCCTAGAGCTCCATCCTCGGGCCTGCCGTCTGTGCAGGTATGGTTTCCAAGTGCTCCAGGAAAGGAGCTGTGGCCTCTCGGGTTCTCACACATGGACATTTCCTGTGGCCCTTTCAGCAAAAAAAAGAAAAAGAAAAAAAGAAAGAAAGAAAGAAAGAAAGAGAGAAAGAAAGGAAGGAAGAAAGAGAGAAAGAAAGAAAAAACCTAACTGCAACGGGGTGTGAAGAGCAGCAGTCCCTTCCCTGGGCCCCCAGTGGTCTACCCTCAAGATCTGCAGTCCCCTGTGGGCCCTCTCACCCACCTCCTTGCCCAGTTCTTTCTCACCTAGGAGGGGAAGGTGGAAAAACCCAGCAGGAGGGGTGAGGGTGGATTTATCCATGTGCTGGACAGACACCCAAGTCACCCAGGGATAAGTGCAAAAAAACAAAGAAAACAGAAAACAGAGCCTGGGGTTTTAATAAGCTATGCAATCTTTTACCAAAGCCAAGGCTGGGCTGTAACCCCTCCCACACCCCCTCCCCCATACTTCCCCAGTGGGAAGCTGTATAAGCAGTTAGGTACAAAGGGCTCCGCCCCTGTGTCTTGAACACAACTCCACCCCACCTCCCCGATGACATGGTATCACTGATGTGTGCTGACCTCAGATTTGTGAACTCCTAGAAATAAAGCACTTTTGTGTCCTGCACTCTCCGTGTCTGTCAGCATTAGGAGTCTTCGGTGGCACTCTTTCAGGCAGTCCCTTTCAAGCATTGCCCTCTGTGGCAGATGCTATCATTGGCTTCAGGATGTTGAGTGAGGACTGTCTCCATTTCCCTAGTCATCCATTTGTCTACCAACTGTCGTTAGGCTCAGGGTTTTCCTGCTACTCTTAAACCTTTCACCACCACCTCTAGTCGATAGGGACTGGTAGAGCACGGAGGGAAAAGCACATTAACCAACTATTTACCAAGCAGTGGCTTTCCCCACTGTGTGCACTGAGCCAGTTCTGCCCAGGGCCTGGGTGGAGGCGGTGAGGAGGAGACTGTGGTCTTGGTTCCTGCCTCCTGCTTGCAGAGATAGGGTAGAGAGAAGACAGCAGGCCAGTTGCTCACCCTATGGATTTGGGGGACACATGGGTGAAGGGGAGCATTACAAAACAGGAACAATCCCTGGAAAAGCCAGCTTGGTCAAGGGAACTGCTGGAGCAAGAATATCCTACTCCAAAACTGGTGACTGGGCAAAGCCTGACTCCCAAAAGTCTCTGGAGGTGACATCACCAGGTTATGGTGGGTTGTCTAGAGGTGACATCACCTGGTCATGGTAGGTTGTCTAGAGGTGACATCACCAGGTCATGGTGGGTTGTCTAGAGGTGACATCACCAGGTTATGGTGGGTTGTCTAGAGGTGACATCACATCACCAGGTCATGGTGGGTTGCCTGGGAGGAATCTGAGTTTCTCTAAAGATCAGGACTGGAGACAGAGGGTATGTAGGGGTGACCTGCTCAGATAAGCATGGCATCTGATGTCCCCTGACTGGCTCCAGATGCTGCCCAGCAGGACATCTCAAGCTTAAGCCTGCCTTATCGAGGGGGTCTCTGTGCAGACCCTCACTGTCTATGTCTTCAAATAGGTTTCTGTATCACAAGCTAGGAGTTAGCATGCTGAAGGTAGAATGGCGTTGGAGAAGTGGGGCAGGAAGGGCTGGGGCAGTTCCCAGGAGCCCAGTCTGCTGTTGGGTTAGAGCTTTGAGGTTGGACCTTGGCTGCTGTATCCCAATCTTCTGGATCTAATCCTTCTGGGGCAGGTGCAGAGGATGTGGCTCCTGTCCTTCTCCCCCTATCTCCCAGAAAGGCCACGAGGAAGGGAACTGGTTTTGTTCTCAGAAGTAATAGCATGATGTCATTTAGACAGCCAGGAAAATGTCTTGGCAAGGGGCCTGCCACATACTTGTTAAGTATCTGAGGTGTGAGCTTGGTCAGTCAGCTCAGGACTCTCTACCTTCATCCAACCTTTCCTTTAGTTAGTCCCCACTCTTGCTGGCCTTATTCCTTCATTGTGTGGATGGACAGCATTGAAGAGACATCCAGGAGTTGCAGGCTGCTGCAAGGTCTCTCCCATGCCTTCCCGGATAGGTACCTAGGATGCATCCTGGAGCCTGGTTCCATAGCAGATGGTTGGGTCACACCTTCGGGTGAGCTGAGGGTATCCAGTAATCCCTGGTGCAGTGTGGATACCACCAAACCCTCTGAATGCTGGGCCTTTCCTCAGAATTTATGCTTCTTGTCTGTGAAGAAGAGCCTCCGGAACTTGTCAGGCTGGGAGGAGGGAAAAGGTGTTGGGGGCTAGGCTCTCCAGCAGAGAAGGAAGCCAGAGAACCAGGCTCAGAGGCTCTTAGCTCGGGCCTAGGGTGTCAACCCAAGCTGGGGAAAAAGTACCAGAACACAATGGCAGCATAGCTCCTACATGCCTCTGGGGGCCCCAAACTCCACTCTCAGTCTTCCTGTTTAAGATGAGGATATGCCTTTGACTGGCTAAGGATGGGTAGTGAGGAAGGAGGCAGACAACACCTCAGATCATTATTTCCCTTCCTGAGTATGTGCTGGTCCCCCTACTACCTCCTACCCATCTGGGGCCTTGCTTTGACCTGGTGGCAAAGGATGGAGAAGATGGATTATATACAGGACCACCCCAGGGTTAGAGGAGGATCTGGGAGAAGTGCGGACATGGCTTCTGAGGTCTATAATGGACTGTCAAAATCTTAAGAGGATCAACAGCTCAGAAATGATGAAGGTGGGGGAGGGGAGAACAAGCTGGGGAGGACACAGCCCTGCCCCGAGGGAAGAGCTGGCTCAAAGCTCAGGGTATGCTTGTTCAGGTCAGGAGAGGGAAGCTTCCAACCAACCCTCTCTGGTGTTTTTTTTATACCCCTTCCATGTTTTCCTCTTCTCTATCATGAATCCTCAGAAATAGTCACCCTGAGAGCCAAGAGCTACCTCTGACAGTGTCTTGTCAAGAGGGCATGTGGGACATTGTTCCCTGGGCAACAACCAGATAACCAGCCCATTTTACAGACAAGGAAGAGAGAGTCTGGGTAGGTTGCCAAGAAAAATACAGGCTGTGCAGTTAAATCTGAATTCTAGGTAAATAACAAACCATTGTGATTTTTGTTTTGTTTTTTTCTTTTCTTTTTTGAAACTTAAAAAAATGATTTCTTTATTGTAATTTCACGTGTTTTGGCTGCACATGTGGCTCTTATGTCTGGGTGAGGGTGTTGGATGCCCTGGAACTGGAGTTTCAGATAGTTGTGAGCTGCCATGTGGGCGGTAGGAACTGAATCCAGGTCCTCTGGAAGAGTAGCCAAAGCTCTTAACTGCTGAGCCGTCTTTCCAGACCCCCCACCCCCCACCCCATCATAATGTTGGAGATATGTGAAAACTACTGGTTTATATACAACTAAAATCTAACTAGATGCCTTGTATTTTGTCTTGCTAAGCTTGGTAGCTACAGTCATCAGGGAAATTGTCTTGGCCAAAGCCAGAAGCTAGAGAGTTGTTTATTCATGACTAGGGCCAAGGGCCTCTTTTCCAGCTTCCAGTGGTTTTGACAGCCTTCCAGTGGTCTGCAGGAAAGGCAGGGAGCGCCCTGCCGTAGAGGAAGCTCTTAGGTGATTTCCACCCTGAAATCTAGCAGCTGCTTCTCCCATCCTTAAATCAACGGGTTGGGGGAGGGAGGCAGTTCTGAGCACTTGTGAGCATTGGCAGTAAGCCACTCATGCTTGAGGGCCACACAGAGATTCTCTCTATGTAGTCCTGGCTATCCTAGAGCTCACTACTTAGGCCAGGCTGGCCTCAAACTCACAGACTCCCTCCTGGCTCTGCTATCCTAGTGCTAGGATTAAAGCTGTGTGTCACCTCCCACCCGCTTAGGGAACTCACCTTGTGCACTCGTCCAGTGTCCTTGTTCTTGGCGGCTGGAATTTGCTCATAGGTGTTCCCTGGTTCTGGGAGCTTCGAGGTCCCTGAAATCTTCTCATAGCCATAGTCCATCGGCACTGATTGTTGGCTGTACGTGGGACTAACGCCAGGATACGGGAGCTTGGAAGTGCCATGCCAGCAGGTTGGGATCTGCTCGTAAGTACTCCCTCTTTGGTCTGGTCTGTCCCTACCCTCTTGTCGTAGGCCTGATGTCTCAACCAGCTGGCAGGTATCTGTGGAGCTGGCTTCAGAGGAGGTCTGAGCCTCATGACTCAGCTTTAGAAAACCCTGCCTCCAAGAAGTAGCCCGTGATCCCAGGGCCTCAGAACTGGGGGACAGGGGAAATCCCAAGGAAGTATAAGGCACTGTAGAGCCTTGGTCTGGCTTCACCTCAGATGGGGCAGGTCCTGGGCTATTGGGCCTGTTCTGATCTTCCTCTGAGAGTTTCCTTGAGGGCTCCCTGCCTGGGGAACAAGCCAAACTTCCAGCTGGAACTGGCTTGTGCCTGCCCCATACCTCTGTGCCCAGGCCCAGCTGTGCCCGGTTCATCTTCTTCAGGTCTGTGTAGATGATGTCACTAGGGCCGGCAAAAGACTCATCCAGAAGAGAGGGACTCCTTTGGGGAATTGGGGGCACTCTAGTGGGTGCCTGGGAGAGAGGGACAGAAAATGTCTTAAAAAGCACCCATTGCTACCATGACCTCGGACCATCTAAGCTATCTTTATAAATTGTGCTTCCCTCTTTTGTCTCAGTTTGCCTATCATATGCAAGGGTTGGTTCACAGCCATCAGATTTCCTGATTCTGACTTAAGTACATTCTTTGCCTTGACAACCAAGGCCTTGGGCCACCAGCTCAACAGTCAACCCAAATTCATTCTGCCTGCTCCTCCTGTCTCCAGCATGGTTCACTGGTTCCCCCAGTACCCCATGAGTACCCCACTCACTGCTATGTATGCCTTCAGAGTGGCTTACTCCCAAGCCCATCACTCAAGGAACCTTTCAACAAATGTTTACTGATACCAACTATGTGGCAGGCAATCTAAGTGTGAGACCAGCTTGAGTTTATATTCTAACCTGGAAACAAGCACCATGGGGCTGTGCTACAGCACACACAAGGACCTGATGTACTATAGGATGTATGGATGTGTCATAAGGAATGTCCTGTCAGGTCACACTCAGGGCTGTAGAGAGCAAAGTAGGTAACAGAGAAGAGAACAGGTAGGAAAGGTGACATGTCCTGTATGTAGGTCAGGTGACAAAGGTGACATGTTATATAGGTCAGGAAAGAAAGGTGATATGTTCTGTAGGTCAGGAGGGAAAGGTGACATGTTCTGTAGGTCAGGTGGCAAAGGTGACATGTTCTTTGGTCAGGTGGGAAAGGTGACATGTTCTGTAGGTCAGGTGGGAAAGGTGACATGTCCTG